GGCCGTTTTGCAGTTCCAGCAACAGAGGACAGAATCTCCCAGAGGGCCCGTCGGCTGTCTCGAGCCACAGTCCTCGGTGGACACGTCCAGTTACTGGGAAGCCACCAGGGGGACAAGTTGAGGCTTCTCTGGAAATGGGGCTGGAGTTGGCAGTGCCCGGGGCGCCAGGCCTAGCTGAGCCGCGCGGCCGCCCCAGGCGAGCGTCTCCAGGATGCCTCAGCAGCCCGACGGCAGGGGTCAGAGGTCAGCTCAGCCCAGGAGTCAGCGCGCCTCACAGATGGGGCTGCGTGGGTGCCCCCCATTGGTGAGGGACGTGTCTGGTGAAGTGTGGCCATGATGTAAAGTCTCCCTGAGAGGTGGCAGTGGGGACCTTCTCATTGACACCGTTGTCATTTGACCCGGGAGGACAGTGTCTCTGCTCCCCGGAGCCCAGCCGCCTTCCCACGGGGCAGAGGAGAGTGAGGGGCACGACTCAGTGGCCCTGTGTGTGCAGGGGCTTGGGATCTTCTGGTGGCAGGGAAGCCCCCTCCTGGGAGAGCAGGAGGGCACTGAGCAGAGGGACGGGGGGACTCTGAGGTTGGACGGAGCCGCCTGCTGCCCCAGTGCCAGGTTCTGCCTGCCGGGGGATGACCCTGGGCAGCTTCCTAAGCCCGCAGGCCTGGCCTCCACACTGTAGATTGGGAGGCACCAGCCCAACCTCTGGGTGACCCAGAGGGGACATGATGTGGACTGGTGGGGGTGGGTCTCCCTGGCAGAAGCCCTTTGCCCTGAGTCTCCCTGGCAGGAGCTCAGCCTGTCGAGTGTCTCAGTTGGAAAAAGTGTGAGTTTCTCAATTTTCTCTAGGAAAAAGGCAGGAGAGCTTCGGCCCCGGTTCCAGCTGAGCTGTCTGGGCAGCGAGGCTCGGTGTGGGCAGCGAGCCCCGTGGACTGGCCACTTGCCCACGCACCTGTTGCTCTGACAGACAGGTTCCTCTGGGATCTTGTCTCAGCCTCTGAATTTCTCTGCCTCTCTCCCGCCACTCTCCATTCAGCAGCTGGGGGCTCTCTGGACCCCAGCCCTTCATTATCTGATGTGTCCTAGTCTGCGAGGGCCGTGTGGCCCCTCACTGCAGACCGGTGGCCTTCATTTCCTTGGGTCTGGGAGCCCCAAGTCCAGGGTTGAGGTGTGGGCAGGGCTGGTTCCTCCTGAGTCCTCTCCTGGCTTGCAGACGACACGGTCCTCCTGGTGCCCCGGCAGGGCCATTCCTCTGCCCGCGTCTGTGTCCTCCTCTCCACCCTAGGGACACTTTAACTCGATTCCCTCTTCAAAGGCTTCATCTCCAAATACAGTCCCATTCTGAGCCCCGGGGTTAGACCGCAGCCCGCGGATCCGGGGTGCACTTGAGCCTGTGAGCACTGCGAGTCTCCGCGTGCCAAGCGCGGCCCTGGGCTCTGGAGCATCTTCAGCGCTCCCTGCAGCCAGAACCCAGGAGCCCTCCAGACTGGACCTCGT